TCAAACTTGGCCCCAGCCAAAAACTGCAAAAAAAAAAAAGATGAGTTGTGAGCTCAGACAATCCACCTGCCTTGGCCTCTCAGAGTGCTAGGGTTATAGGCATGATCTGCTGTGTCTGGCAAAATTGGAGTATTAGAAGAAGTAACTATATGGGGCAGCACCTGTGGCTCAGTGGGTAGGGCGCCGGCTCCATATACCAAGGGTGGTGGGTTCAAACCCAGCCCCAGCCAAATTGGAACAACAACAAAAAAATAGCTGGGCATTGTGGCAGGTGCCTGTAGTCCCAGGTACTCAGGAGGCTGAGGCAAGAAAATCACCTAAGCCCAGGAATTGGAGGTTGCTGTGAGCTGTGATGTGATAGCACTCTACTGAGGGTGATAATGTGAGACTCTGTCTCTCAAAAAAAAAAGAAGTAACCATAACATATTTCCAGTGAGTAAAAATGGGGAGGATTTTAATTCTGCAGCATATGAATAGTGAGATGCAAAGCCAGAAAGCTATTGAGATTTGAGTGAAACTTTGGCCCTTGGTATTGAATGAGTTAACTTTCAGCTTGTTTTTTTTTTTTTTTTTTTTTTTTTAAGACACAGTCTCATTTTGTTGCCCTCAGTAGAGTATGGTGGTATCATAACTCACAGCAACCTCCAGCTCTTGGGCTTAGGCGATTCTCTTACTTCAGCCTCCTGAGTAGCTGGGGCTACAGGCGCCCACCACAACGCCCAGCTATTTTTTGTTGCAGTTTGATAGGGGCTGGGTTCGAACCTGCCACCCTCGGTATGTGGGGCCACCCATTAACTTTCAGCTTAGTAAAACAAACAGGAAGAAGCAGGGAAGTTCACTACATCGATTCCTAACACTGAATAGCCCCCATTGCCTACTTTTCCACCCTCTGCTCTCAAACCATAGAGCCAGTGGTAGGGTAAGTTACAGATCATTAGTCCTTTTGCTCACAGCCTATTTACAATTCTCTCATAACACTTCTTTTATTCAATACTAGACTCTTCAGTGAACTCCCACAAAGACTCCATTTCCTGTACCTCATTTTCGTAAGATGATGTCACCTACATTATGGAGACAAGGGAGTAGGGGAGAATTTTCTAATAGTCTACCTTTGTTTCTGAAACCTTAAATCTTTTAGAGGTCTCAAACTGTCCAATCTATCTTTCCTCTCATCTTTTCTTTGTCTAGGATTTGTTTTCACATATTATACTAATAATAGTGTATATAGCATTTTCAATTCCCCCATATCCACAGACCTTTCTTCTGGCTTTCAGATACTTACAGACTTATATATCATCTTCTCTTTAAAAGCTATAATTCTTTTTTTCTCTCCTCCATGCTTTCTCTCCTGTTAGTACATAACCTGTCTCCTATCTCTGCTTTCTATTAATCCTTACTATTTTTTTTAACTCCTATTAATATACTGAGGCCTAGGAGATGGAAGATAATAATAGCATAGAGTCTAATATATTAAGGACCTTAAAATTTAGTTATATAGGCAAACTAACATCAATTTATATGCTTAGTCAGTTGGGGATTAGTATATATTATCATAAGGTGACCAGATGTCCCGCTTTTTAACAATTTTTTCCATGTCCCAAGGTGTTTTAAAATCACGATTTTTGGAAAGAATGCACTACAAGCTAGGGAACAGTGGGAGAATGGGAAGGGAATATACCATTTTCAGCTGCTAAAAAGGTTAATGTAACTCCATTAGGGAATGAAGAGGTTAATGTAACTTCATTTGGAAGTGAAAAGGCTAATGAAAACTCCCTACTGCCCTCCTGGGCACGGTTGCCCAGGTGGAATCGGTATCAGAAGGATACTGGCTCCCCCCCTTGCTTCTAGGCAAGAACAAATAGCTCAGAAGGAGCCAAACTGTCTGGAACAAACAAGTATTCCCACCCCACCACCCCACCCAGAGTAAGGTGACCCGATGTCCCACTTTTGGCGGGACAGTTCTGATTTTTAACAATTTGTCCCATGTCTTGCGGGGTTTTAAAAAGTCCCAATTTTTGGAAAGAATGCACAAGCTAGGGAACGCGGGAGAACAGGAAGGGAATATACAGTTTTTGGCTGCCATGTGGCTATTTCACCAGAATATGAGTTTTATATTATTTTTGTTAATTTTATAATGTTAAACT